ACCGTAAATTGGTTCAGTGTTTGTGTTTGCAATTATGTAAAAAAAGACAAAGTTTTTGTATTATTCTTGGACATAGAAAAAGCATTTAATTCAGTGGTAATTGCAGCATTGCAAAGGAAGCTGATTAATTATCAGGCAGACATTTATTTAGTGAGAATAATAGGAGAGTTATTTGGCCATTAAAAAGTGATAGTTAAGCAAGAAAACAGCAAGTGGCCTGCATTAGACATAGAGAGAGGATTATTACAAGGGGACCCCTAGTCCCCCCATTTATTTAAGTTTTTTACATTTGACATATAATAAATGAATGTTTTTAACAAGAAGACAATGGTTTTACTTTCAATGGTCAAATTGTTCACGCCATATCTTATGCTGACAATGTTGTTATAGTTGCACCAACAGCTGCAGTTTTACATAGGAAGATTAAATCATTACATGAATACTTTGATAAATTAAAACTCAAAATTAACCCACGTAAATTTTCTATAATGGTATTTCAGAATGGGTCAAGGATCTCCAAGAAAAGAAAGAATTTTACCTGTACAACGAGTTCAAGATAGTACAGGAAATAAAGTTTTTGGGAATAATTCTGACACCAACTTTATCCTTCGAAAAACATTACAAAAAAATTAAGGCCAAGTCCATGTTATTGGCCAACAATATGGTGAAATTGTTTATGATTACTATACTAAAGAATATAATTGTTCATTTTAAATTGTTTAATTCAATAATTATCAATCAGTAGGGTATGCATCATTGATTTGGGGACTTTCAAGTTATAAAAAATTTGACATTATACAAAACAAATTTATTCAAAAAATTTTTACCCTGGAGTATGATACCTGGTTTTGCTCTCAGACTAGAACTAAATTGGTTTAAACTAAGTCCTTTCTTTATAAAAAGATTTATTAATTTCCTATTTATGATAGGGGGCTGTGTCAGAGCTGTCAAGTGTCCGAGTGAACTTTTTTTGAGAGGTTGGTAGAACAAGTTTGGGATGGAAATAACAAAAAATTACGCAATGTGGTATGTACAAATTAGAGCTGTTGACATTAATTTAACATTGGGAATGATTAAAATACTATTAATAATTGCCGGAATTGAAATAAATCCTGGTCCTCTCCCCCGCTCACCACTTCGGTCAAGTCAGTTGGATATGCAAAAAAGGGGGCGGGGTAGACCTAGGAAGGAAAGTCACAAGGATGAAGAAAGGGAAACACAGTTACTGGAAATTTTAAGTGAGGAATACCAAATTGAAGAAAAGGTCGAAAGAAATAATGGGACCCCGAGAAATTCGAAAATTCAGGATTATTTTAAACCGGCAAGAGAAACCGAAAAACAAGGTATTGACGATTCACAATATACATTAAGATCTATATATGAATTAATTCAGGAAAANGTGTAGTTTCGCAGAATTAGCAGCAAGGTCACGTATGTGGGCATGCCGACGAAACCCGAGACAAATTTTTTGCAAAAGAAATCAATGAAAACTGAAACCGAGGTATTACTGTATTTGCAGAAGACAAATGAAATGATGGAAGGTGACAATTGTTTACAATATTGATGTATCAGCTTAATACAGTAAGTAAAGGAAAAAATGTTAGTAATGTAATGGTAGTAAAAATATGAGAGAGACTAACAAAGACAAAAAAAAATTTTCTGTCCAATAGGGTTTTGGTGAATATAGGGTCTTTGCGGGAAAATTATAAAGTCTTACTAAAGAAATTCATAGACCCTAACATTATTGGTTCTACGGAAACCTGTATGATAATTTGAAGTGACAGTTAAAGTTAATAATTAATAAACACTTGATCATAGTATTTAGTAAAGCAAAAAATGAAGAAACAAGAATAAATTAATCGACTATGTTGAAGTAGCTATCATAAATATAAATTTAATAATGAAAATAAGATCTATGTAATGTAAAAACATTGAGATATTGTATATGGAATAATGAATAAATTTGAAGTGTTTTTAAAACGGGTAAAAAGGTACATACTGTATGTAATGTATAAGTTAAAATATAATTAGATGTAAAAATAAATCTGTGTAGATAATCAAGAAATTGTGAAATCCAACCACCCTGATTGTAACAGATGGAAGGCGAATGCTCATAGAAAAGTTAATTTATGTAAAGTTCTAATAATTGTATAAACATCCCCCTTGTAACAGGCTATTGCCTATTACGTTAATAAACATTCTATTCTATTCTATTCATGATAAGAGATAGCGGAAATATATCTTCTAAACTGCTGATTTTGTTATATAAAAAATCCTGCCAGGTTTCACAGAGAAGATCATGGATGGATCAAATTAAAAGTATTGTTAATACCTATGGAATCTCTCTAGGTCCTCTGCTAGTAAAATCTGAAATTAGTGAATTACTAAAATCTCATTTAATTCAAAATTCACTTGAAGTTTTATTGCTACAAAATATCAAAGAAATGTATAATCAGAATAAACCTGAATGGTATAGTTTATTACTGGAATACTCTTTTATCAATAGTTATATGTTAACAAATATTCCTTTTGTAATTAAAAAATTTTTCATTCAACTCAGACTAAATAAGAACCTGATCATGGTCAAAAATAAAATCTATGAATTTTCTAAAACCAGTTGTCCAAGGTACAATGGAATATTGACCAAATTTCATTTGTTTTGTGAGTGCAAGGAGGTTCAAGATTTAAGATCTAAAGTGGGTCTTAGCCAATTAAACAATTTATTGGATGAAAATAAAATGTATCAATTTTTCCATTCAGCTAATACTACTACTATATACAATTTTTATAATTTTATAAAAAAATTTTTTTGTAAGTAATTGTTTCAATCTAAATTTGTCTAATTAAGTTACACATATTGAGGCCATGTATTCATTATCAGTCGGTTAAATAATTACCAGTCCTATTGGGTTGATAAACTGTAATTTTTGATGTTATGTTTCTCGAACACCCTTTTGTAACAGGCTAAAGGTCTAATATGAATAATTAATATATTTGAATTTGAATAGTGAAATAAAGTAATTATTTATACAGTTTAATAATAAATTATTAGTAAATTATATAAATAATGAGTTAACATTTTATGGCCTATCTATCTATGACTTGTGTGCAATTTGACCTGTCAATCAAAAAGTTTGGACATTATTGTATTAGGCCAATGCATTAATGTACTGTACAGTAGACCCCCCTATAATGCAAGTTCATATAATGCAGATTTGTATATCACAGCGAAAAAATTGCGACTGTATTCGTATAAAGACGCTAAAAGAGACTCGTAAAATGCGGTAAAACGTCATCGCCGACTCATGTCGCAACAGGATTGGTTGAATCTGGACCAATAGTGGACAAGCAGCCGAACTACTTACACACTATGGAGAGTTTAGGTGGGTAAGTTGAGTTTACTATCGTCTGTACAGTATATAAATTAGGTACTGTAAGTCTAATACAGTACTGTAATTTTATACATTTCTTGTGAAAAAAACATTTCTTATTGAATGGCCATAAAAATTATTTCTATTAATGATGTCTCCAAAGTTCAACGAATTTTTCGCAGAAAAATAACTTATCAGAAAACGCGCC